CGCGTGGGCCGGCACTCCGCCGTGCCCAGCCCCCGCCAGCCACCGGCCTCCTGTCCCAGCCCCGTCCTTCAGCCCCGAGCTCGGCTCCTGGAGGACATCCCAGTGCTGTCCCCTGGACAGAGCGGCCTGCCTGGCCGGACGTCCCGCAGGGCCTCAGATATGGTTGTGAGGGGCTCCCGGGTCTTAGCATGGCCAGGGGACTCATGGGTCTGAGGACAGCTGTCTGTGCGGGGATGCCCAGGGCCTGGCCTGCGCTTTGGGAGACAAGTCAGAGGCCCTCCGAGGCGTGCCTGTATGGCCGGGCAGGGACGGGTCTTGGGCGCCGTGGCCAGGGCCTGGGGCGCGCCTCCCCAGAAGCGGGGCCTGCTGCCTGGGGGTCTGGGCCTCGGAGGCCCTGACTTGGGCCCAGGGGCTTCACGGGACTGCGCTTATGAGCAGGAGACGTGTCCCAGCCCGGCCCGGCCCCCGGACCTTCAGAAACAAGCACCCCGCAGGAGCGAAAACCGCGGAGAGACTCTGGGAAGTGGACCGGGCGTGGGAGCAGCAGGGCACGCCCTGCATCCGCCCGGCTGCTTCCGTCCTGGTGCCCAGGCGGTGCATGCCCGGGAAACAGGCAGAGGAGGCAGTGGGGAAGAAAGCATGACACTGGACCTCAGAGCGGCCCGTCCAGCCACAGTAGCTCCAGGTGAACATACACCACGCGTGCCGAGTGGGCCGTCTAGAACTTCTAGGACAGGTGGGTGCGGCGGCTCGCGCCTGCCATCCCAGCACTTTGGGAGGCCAAGGCAGGAGGATCGCTCGAGCCCAGGAGCTCAAGACCAGCCTAGGCAGCATAGAAAGACCTTGTCTCGACAAAAAATTAGCCGGGCGTGGTGGTGTGTCCCTGTAGTCCCAGCTACCCGGGAGGATCGCCTGAGCCCTGGAGGTTGAGGCTGAGGAGAGCTGTGGTCGTGCCCCTGCCCTCCAGCCTGGACAGCTCTGTCTCCAAAACACAAGAAAGAGAAAAAGAAAGAACTTCTGAACACAGGATGCTGGTCGCCTGGGCGCTGCTCCCTGCCCCTCCCCCGCGTCTCTGATTCATGTGCTTGGGGGGAGGCCAAGAGCAAAGTCTCGGGTGGTGCCGCACTGGTTGGGGACCGCCCATCGCTGAGACCTTGTCCTGAACTAAGGGTTGGCTGGAGAGCTGCGTCTGGTCCCAGGGTGGGCTCTGGCGGACGGAAGGGAGAGAGGAGGGAGTCAGAAAGGAGAGCACAGACATTGAGAGTTGGGGGGTCTCTCCACTTTGCCACAATCACCACCGCTCCCCCTCGCACGGCCCCTGGAGAGCCCAGGTAGGGTTCACCTGCCGGGCTTCCATGGCATGGTTTGTATGACGTGTGATCTCAACCTTTCTTAAGCTTGTTTTCTTTGGTGAGGGCAGGACTGGCTCTCTTCCTTGGGTTGAGTGCAGTAGTGCCATCATAGCTCACCACAGCCTCCAATTCCTGGGCTCAAGCGATCCGTCCACCTCAGTCTCTCAAATAGCAGGGACTACAGGCGTGCACCACCACTCTGCCAATTTTTAAATTTTTTGCAGAAAGGAAGTCTCACTAAATTGCCCAGGCTGGTCTCGAGCTCCTGACCTCAAGCGATTCTCCTGCTTTGGCCTTCTAGAGGGCTGGGATGGCAGGTGTGAGCCACCGCACCCAGCCTCTCCTGGCCCATTTGGGAGCCTGGAGTGTTACCTGGATCTCTGCAGGTTACTGTCTAAGAGTTCTTCCTCCACTCAAAAAACTGAGCACCTGGCCCGAGTCCAGTCTGAGCCCTGCTTCAGGTTAGAGTGAAGACTCACAGGAGCAAGTGTGGAGCAGCCTCACACGCAGCGCTCCAAAACAGGACTGGCCGCGGGCACCCCCTGCCTGCAGGGCTGGATTTTTGGGTGTCCCTGAGTGGGGCAGGAAGGAGGGCTGGGGGGCCACGGGCCCTGTCAGGCCTCCCGAAAGAGCCCAGTCGGAGTCCGACCACGCGGAGACTTCAGTCTGGTGCGCCATCCCCCAGGCAGCCTGTGGCCATTCCTAGAACGGCACTCGAGGCCTCGCAACAAGCCTTGACCCCACAGGCCTCGCTGGCACCAAGTGTGCCGGAGGGATGTGGGGATCACCAGGCTTCAGTGCCCTGCAGTGTCCCCGTGCAGCACCAGCCCTGTTCCCGCCAGGCGTTTGGGGCTCAAGAAAGAACCCAACTTTAAGTGGCCCGTCCACACCTGGGGGCTGCTGACCACACTGGCTGGGGCCTAGAGGGCATGCCCCAACCTGCAGCCAACCCAGGAGAGGCACCTGTCCCAGCTGCCGCAGACCTCGCGCCATGGATGGAGCGCCCCTCCCATTTTCCCCCCTACCCTTAAACATCCGTCCCCAGAAAGGCCCTTTTCCACCTCCCTGCTGTGGGGAGGGGTTGCACCCACTGCTCCTGTGTGCCATGGCATCTCTGGCCTGGGATCCAGCATGCAGTAGGTGCTCAATTAAGTGTTTTTAAATAGAACCTTCTATGTTGTGTGTATTTTGACACACACACACACACACACACACACACACAAAACGACACCCAGCCCCATCTCAGACCAATTAAATCAGACTCTCAGACCTGCATCTAAGTGTTAAAAGCCATCATCCTGGGTGGTAAGCTATGGGAGATTTTTGTGTGGTCTTTATAATCAAAGAAAAGCAGGCCGGATGTGGTGGCTCACGCCTGTCATCCCAGTGTTGGGGGAGGCCAAGGTGGGAGGGCTGCTTGAGTCCAGGAGCTCGCGGCCAGCCTGGGCAACATAGCAAGACCTGGTCGCTACAAGAAATAAAAAAGTTAGCCAGGCACGATGGTGCGCGCCTGTCATCCCAGCCACCCTCCTCCAGTGCACTCCAGCCTGGGCTGTCGGAGCAAGACCCCGACGCAAACTGACGAAGGCCCAAGCGGGAAAAGCCACCGGGAACAAGCAAGCTGCAGAGCCGGTCGGCTGAGGGCCCAGGAGAGCCCGGCCGGGCGGAAGCGGCTCAGGTCTCACGGCTGGCCCCTCCCTGCACGCACCAGCCCCCGCTTCTCAGGAGGGAGCCCCGTCTGCCAAGGAGTGGGCCATGCGAGGCTGGCCAAGAGGCCGGGGAAGCCGGGGTCAGGGAGTGGGGGAGGGACGAGGCCGCCCAGCGTCCAGGCGGTGCCGCGGCCGGCCCGGCCTCCCCGACTGGGCCTGTTCCCCAGGGGGCTTCATGGCGCTGGGGGACGCACGGAAGCCCGGTGACACCCTGGATCTCTCTCTTGGTTTTGTTTTGGGGGCAGGGTCTCGCTCCGTCGCGCAGGCTGGAGTGCAGTGGCGCCTTCCTGGCTCACGGCAGTCTCGACCTCCGGGCTCCAGCGGTCCTCCCGACTCGGCCTCCCCGAGGGCTGGGACGACAGCACATGCCACCTCGCCGCAGCATTGGGCGTCTGGCGAGCGACCGTGACTTTGGTCTTCCTTCGTGGGGCATGTCTGGGCCCGCCTGCCTCACCCGTCTCTCATGTCTTCAGAGTCACTCAGACTGTGGCCGGCGGACCCCAGGGAGCCCACAGCAGGCCCGGGGGGTGGTCAGAACGGTGCCAGGCTCCTCTACACGGAACCTCCTGCAACTCGCTGATGACAGCCCAGGTTCCCCTGGCCAGCACCAGTTCCCGCAGAGGCTTCTGCCCAGTCAAGTGTTTTGTCCGTCCTGGTCAGCGTGACCCCCGCTGCCTGCCATTCCAACTTTAGGGCAGAGGCTGGCCCCATGAACTCACTTGTCCTGGGGAGCTGGGGAGACTCGTCCCTTGAGGTGTGTCCAGGTGTTTGCAGAGTGATGGCTTCAGGCTCTTGATGTGCCGGACTGGAAAGTCCTTGAAACTTGGTGTGCATTCAGTACAAAGTCACATATATTTCGCAGTTTTGGTTTTGGGTGCTGTGCCTTCGAGATTTGGCCACTTCTAGCCCATGTGGATTAGAACAAGCCACATGGGGCTTATGGCTTCCATATCGAACTGGGTTGTTCTCAGTGGAAACTGGTTTGCCTGAGCCCTGGTGATCAGTGGATATCTCAGGCATAAAATGCCTTTTCACCTGGGTTGACCTAGCATCTTCACAGTGTTAGAAATGCAATCCAAGCTGGGCATGGTGGCTCACGCCTGTCATCCCAGGATTGCTTGAGCCCAGGGGTTTGAGACCAGCCTGGGCAACATCGCGCGTCCTTGTCTCTACAGAAAAATTTAAAAATGAGCCAGGTATGGTGGCGCGTACCTGTAATCCCAGTTACTCGGGAGGCTGAGGTGGAAGGATTGCCTGAGCCCAGCAGGTTGAGGCTGTGGTGAGTCATGATTGTGCCACTGCACTCCAGCCTGGGCGACAGAGTGAGACCCTGACCCCTAAAAAAAAATAAAAAGGAATGCCGCCATCCAAATGCCGCTGGAGAGTCAACTCACTGGGTGTTGCAATGCGTGCAGTTGGCGTTTCTTTACCAATCGTATTGACCTTATTGTAAGGTTAATCAACTTTGCATGTTGATTAACCTTCCTCCTCACCGGACGGTCACTTGATACTTAAATGGGGGACCATTTCCTCCCAGACGGTCATTCTTTCCCTCGTGTCATTAAATTTAGATGACGTCAGCAGACGGGGGTGTGGCACTTGCCAACGTTTTGCTGTTTCCCGCCGCCATCTCCCGCACTCCCTCCCACACTGGTCCCCAACGTCGGGAGGACGCCAGGCCGGGACCCTTGGGACTTTCCAGCCCTCCAGCACCAGCTTAGCGGTAGAGCTTCTCAGGGGCACGCGCTGCATGGCTGCTCCTAGCTCACGCCCCTCAGCTCGGGGACACCCGCCCGCGCCTCTTACCAGCCGCCCATGGAGGCTGAATGGCGTGGGTGTCTCTCACCCAGTGTCCCTTACCTGGGCTCGCCGGCACTTCTGGTAGAACTCTGCCACATGCAGGCCGTCCAGCTCCGCCAGCAGGCCTTGCCTGCACATCTCACAGGTCCGCACGGTGTCCAGGGCCGCCCCTGCCATTGGACAAAGGGTTACAGGGCACAGTCACTGCGGGTCTGTGTCGGCGCTTCAGATGGGCGATGTTTTGCACCTGAACTCTTGTGTGTTACGGATTCTTTCTCTCTTTTTTGCGTCAGAGTCTCAGTCACCCAGGTTAGAGTGCAACGGCATGTTCACGGCCACTGCAGCCTCAACCTGCTGGGCTCAGGTGATCCTTCCACCTCAGCCTTCCCAGTAGCTGGAACTACAGGTGTGCACCTCCATGCCCGGCTAACTTTTCTTGCTTTATTTAGAGACAAAGTCTCAACCAAGTTTCCCAGGCTGGTCTTGAACCCCTGGGCTTAGGCAATCCTTTCGCCTCGGCCTCTCAAAGCGCTGGGATGACAAGTGTGATTCCGACTCCAGCGACCTTCGCTTAAAGCCAGCCATCCTCTGTGGAAGCTGACCCTGGACCTGAGAGCGGAAGCATGTCCTCTGTGATCTCCTATTACACAAGTTTCACAGCAGTGAAACTCCCATGACTTTTAGATCGCAGGCCTGGCTTTCTATTTACACGTCAACACGAGGTTCATAAAACTGGAACTGGCGCGTGGGGGCCACGTCTGTCACACAGGTGTTTGTACAAGGAGCAAAAATCGGGCTCGTGGTTCTCGCTTCTTGTAGGCCTTGCACGGGCCCAAGTCGATCGCTTCGCGAAGCCCAGGTAAGTGGCGGCATCTGTCCTCCAGCGGGGCTTTAGAAGCCTGCCTTTCTCCCCAGGGCCCCGGGGGGACGTTCCCATGGAGAACAGAGAGAGGCTGGGGCCGCGCGTGGGTCCGGGTCACGTTCGTGTCTCCGGCTGAGGACATGGCCTCTGTTCCAGGCTCAGCCTCGCTTAGGGAAAGAAACACGCCCAGGTGTCCGTGCTTCCTTCCTCGCTGTGCTATAAAAGCCCCCACCTGACCCGCATTTGGTCCCGTCCCGTCCCCGGCGCAAGGTGGACGCTGCGGAACGGTGTCTGCCAGACACTCCCTCCTCGCTGCTGCCGGCTGACGAAGGATGTGCCGGGCTTGTTGCACACATCGGGAAGCAGAGGCCCCTGGAGTTACCTGCCTCTGCTTGGGAAGAGCAGGCCGTGCAGTTTCAAACCCTGGGTCTGTTTCCACCACTGGGGACGGAAGGAAAACAGGAAGTAACAGAGATATTCACAGGGCAGGGCGAGCAGCCATCCTGCCGCTGCTTTGTGTGGACCTGGCCTTTTTTTAAATTCTTTTTTTGGCATCACTCAGCAATGCCTGAGGTCGCTGAATGTCCCGTCCTGCCGAACGTCCCCATGCTCGCGCTGACTCTCACAAGCACGCAGCGTATTCCCGACATGTTTCCCGGGGACCGCTTTCTCCGTTTCAGGATGGCAAAGCGTGGTGTGGCAGACGGCCCCCTCGTTCCTCTGCCCTCTGAGGGACTGTGGCCCGGCACGCTGCGTGGATGTGTCCAAGCAGCCTGGTCGGTGGTCTTACGTGCCTCCTGCCGGGGAGAGGCGTGCGTGGAGACGGCACTGAGGGCGACGACGAGCGTGATCATCCACACGCTCGCGCTCCGATCTGGCAGTGCCGTCCTTGGCGGGGGCCGCGCGGCACCCTGGGGGGCAGGACAAGGCTCTGGGCCTCCCTGGAGTTGTGGCCACTAAGGAGAGGACGTGACAAACGATGGCAGAGGACCCGCCGTGGGGCTCGTGTTCCAGAACCGGGACTGCCTCCTGGCAGCCCAGCAGCTCCCTCCGACGCTGCTGTCCTGTGCGGCTTTGGGCGTCAGGTAGCACTCGCTTCCCAGGCCAGGCTCTGAAGAAACCCACAGCTGCCCCGTGGGCACGGCTGCACCCAGGCTACAGCCCCCAGGGAGCTGGGCGGCGCCGGCACCCGTGGGAGCCACCCAGGAGCTGGCAGAGCGTGGCACAGGGACGCCCGGTCCAGCGCGGCCCTCGGAAGCCAGACCCTCCTTGCCCAGCAGCTCTTTCTTGCCCTGGGGCCTTGCTGCCCGCAGCTCTGCCGGGCGCTTCCACCCTGCCCCAGGTGAAGCACGCGGCCCGAGCTGGACATGGGGTGGGCGCAGCGCCGGGCGCCCGAGGCCTCCCACCACAGCCCTGGCCCTTCTGCACCCCCGGAGGCCGTCAGACGGGGCGGGATGCTGAGCCGTGTCTCCTGGGTTCCTCCCGCAGGCCCAAGAGCTGCCCCCTCCCGCCATGGTCAGAGGACAGCGCTGAGCGGCGAGCGGCTGGGCCACGTGCCTCCCTGCAGCCGCTCAGCAGAGGCGTGCAAGCGGCCACGGGGCTGGGCCCGCATACAGGAGACGAGGCCGGGGCCCACGCCGGCCATCTCCTTCCCCACCTACCTGCTGCTATTTTCGCTTTCAGCCACGTCTCCAAGCACACTCGGTGGACGAGCCGCAGGCTCCCCACACAGCCACAGGGCTGCAGGAGGGGGTTGTCTGGGGAGGCCCCGGCTCCCCGGCAGATGCGGCAGGAGTCCCCGTCCTCCTCGACGTCCTCCTCCAGGAGGCTGCAGGGGAGACAGGGAGCCCCCGCTGCAGTCCACACATGCCGTTCCCGGGGGCACTGGCAGAAGGGGAGGGGGCGTCCCCCAGCCCACCCACCTAGGCCCCCTCTGGCCCCGCGGGACTCCCTCCAGATACCGTTGTTTATTAGCACAATCCTAACCTAGAGACAGAGTTTCTCTCTGTCACCCAGTGGCTTGATCTCTACGCCGTGGGCTCCAGTGATCCTCCCGCCTCAGCCTCCAGGGTAGCTGGGACTACAGGCACCACCACACCCGGCTTGTTTTTTAAAACAATTCTTTGGTGGAGATGAGATCTAACTATGCTGCTCAGGCTGGTCTTGAACTCCTGGCCTCAAGAGATCCTCCTACCTCGGCCTCCCAAAGTGCTGGGATTACAGGCATGTGCCACTGTGTCCAGTCCAGATACAACTATTGATTGTTGATGCACACACTCCGACACCAGGCTCCTTTGTGGCCGTCTATAGGTGCGAGCTGACTCAGGGCCATTCTGCCGCCACCTGCCCATCAGGGGCTGAGAGAGGCCACCACAGGGAAAACTGTGGCGGGGCCGGGAGCCCCTCCCCACCGCCACCTCCAGGAGGGATTTGCCACGCACGCGTGCACCTGGGTTTGGAGCCGGCCTCTGAAGCCCGCGAGTCATGTGAGCTCGGGCAAGTCCCCTCACCCTTCTGGCACGCCGTTTCCTCCTCTGCCCAGCAAGGGTCCCGGCGATGGCGCGGCTGCGCGACGAGAGGGACCGTCCTGCCGGCCCCCACATGTGGCCCGTGTGGCCGGGGGCTGCGCAAGCGTCCCCCGGGCAGGGGCCGGCGCAGGTAGACACTGAGCCGAGGCCCCGGGCCCCGGTGCCACCCGCCCCGTGCTTGCCAGGAGCAGCCTCAGCGCCCCAGGCAGGAGCTGCCAGAATCCCACCCGAGGGGAAGGAGCGAGACTGTGGACAAAGCCGTCAGCGTCTCGCCCGTAGCGGGCACGGACAGCGGGCTGGGGTCGTGCCGGGAGGTCTGGGGACGCTAAGGCCGCCTTTTTTCTTCAGAAGCCTCACGGGTGGGAGCTGTCTGGACGGGAAAAGGAAACGGGCCAGAGACACATCGAAAGAGAGGAAAAAATGGACACGTTCTGGGCGTTGAGACACGCTCAGCTCTTTGAGAGAGCTTTTTCCCCGAGTTTGAAAGGAGGCTTATGAAAAGGAGCAGAGTCAGAGTTTTCCATCATGGACATTCCGAATAATCGTAAAATGTTTTCAATATTGAGGCTAGGCGTGATGGCTCACCCCTGTCATCCCAGCACTTGGGAGTTCAAGGCAGGAGGGTTGCCTGAGTCCAGGAGTTCGAGACCAGCCTGGGCCATTTGGCAAGACCTCAGCGCCACAATAACTCAAAACTTTAGCCAGGGGTGGTGGTGCGTGCTTGTAATCCCAGCACTTTGAGAGGCTGAGAAGAGGATGGCCTGAGCCCAGGGGTTTGAGACCAGCCTGGGCAACTTGGTGAGACCTCGTCTCTACAATAAATAAAAAAATTAGCTGGGCACAGTGGTTCACGCCTGTGGTTCCAGCTACTTAGGAGGCTGAGGTACAAGGATCACCTGAGCCCGACAGGTTGAGGTACTCCAGCCTGGGCGACAGTGAGACACCGGCTCAAAAAAATTTTTTTTCAATAATGAGATGTCAGTAATTTTCCACCTAGCTGCCGTATTTTCGCAAGGAACCTGGAAGAACAGGTGTTCTTCTCCAGCGGATGAACACGGCACATCATTGCAGGCTTGGAAGGAAGCTGGGGAGGGCAGAACTTTGCCCGAGGGAGTGCAGGAGGAGCCTGTGAAGCCCGGGGTGGAAATCGTGGCTTCCCACCATGGGGTTTGCCCGAAGCGCTTTAAGAACCGTGGGGTTTGCCCGAAGCGCCCAGGAGTCTGAGCGTTGAGATGTCACGCAGGCGTGATGATCTCTGACCTCCCCGGTGGGACCAGGGGCTCTCTGGTGAGCTTTTTTTCTTTTGAGTTGGAGTCTCGCTGTGTCACCCAGGCTGGAGGGCAGTAGCACGCTCCCGGCCACCGCAGCCTCGACCCGTTGGACTCCAGTGATCCTTCCGCCTCAGCCTTCCAAGTAGCTGGAACTGCAGGCGCACGCTACCACGCCCGGCTCATTTTTGATTTACTGTAGAGACGAGGTCTCGTCAAGTTGCCCAGGCGGGTCTCGAACCCATGGGCTCAGGCAATCCGCTCGCCTCGGCCTCCCAAAGTGCTGGAATGACAGGCTGAGCCACCAAGCCCAGCCTCTCTGGTGAGTTTTATAGTTTGTGACTGACTCCTAACAGAGGGTCTTCCAGCCTCTCGGGGGAAGCCGCTGGCCACTTTATTTTGAAAATAATTTTTTTTCGTTTTTACAAATAGAAGCGAGGAAGAAACAGAAAAGAAGGGAAAATTGAGTTTGCGGCCGTGGCCCGAGGGCCCGCTTGGGGTGGTGTGGCGGCCCTCTGCTGCGGTTTCCGTGCGCGGCCTATCTTGACAGAGTCGGGTCGCTTTTAGGATGAGCTCTGGAGAGCGGGCCCAACACCCAGCAGGTTGCTTCCCCACACGAATCTCTTACGACAAGAAAGCATAGCTATGTAGCATGACTCTGCCGCAGTGCCAGGAAGCAAGCAGGCCAGAGATGATGGGAATTCCCAGGACGCAGGCGAGGCTGTGTGGGGACCTTGGCCAGAAGAGAGGGCAGGCCGGCAGGAGCGAGCCGCCCCAGCTGAGGCCGGCCTGGGGTCCCTGCCGGGCTGGGCCCCTCCAGGGCAGGGCGACAGTGAGGGTTGCTGGCTCCAGGCTGCTTTGGCGCGGTGGGGCCAGTGGCCGCCCCTTAGTCACGGCGCGTGGGCCATGGCACGGCCTCCCCCAACGAGCATCCTGGAACTGGCACTTAGAGACAGAGGGTGCCCTATCAAGGTCAGCGTTTTCGTAAAGGCTCGCAAACATCATCCATTTGCATGAAGCCTCCCTGCTTAGGGAAGAGGACCGCAGAGGACTCCGGGCACACAGCTGCCAGGACCCGCGCCAGCCACGCCAGCCCTTGCCACGCGACACTGCCCTTCCTCCGTGAACGGCCAGGGCCCCCCGTCCCACACGGAGACCAGCCGCGCCGTGGAAAGGACACAGGAGAGAGACGTCAGCCGGCCCCAGAGGACGTGGACAGTCCAGGGCCAGCAGAGCCAATGCCAGGAAGGGCCTGGAGGGTGTCACGGCTGCTGTAGGAAGGAGCCCTAGGAAGAGAGGGAGAGGGAGGGTTTCTGGGGACAGAGAGAATGTGGAGCCGGGCTCGGTGGCTCAGCCTGTCATCCCACGCCTTTGGGAGGCTGAGGTGAGTGGATGGCCTGAGCCCGCGGGTTCGAGACCTGCCTGGGCAACTTGGCGAGACCTCGTCTCTACAATAAATCAAAAAATGAGCCGGGCGTGGTAGCGTGCGCCTGTAGTTCCGGCTACTTGGAAGGCTGAAGCAGAAGGATCACCGGAGTCCGGCAGGTCGAGGCTGCGGTGGCCGGGAGCAGCCACTGCACTCCAGTCTGGGCGACAGAGTGAGACTCCAACCCCCCCCCCCAAAAAAGTGGAATTGGCAGAATGAGCATTCCAGGGGGACAACATGGGTGGACAACAAGGGTCACGGCACAGAGCTGCAAGCTGAGCAACCCGGTCGTCAGCCTTGATGCACAAAAGGAAAGCAGAATTCTTCTTTGTTTGGGTAGCTTGGTTTGATGTTTTAAAAGAACCTTAGACTCAGGGGCACACGTGTGTGTTCATTACAGGGACATACTATGCAGTGGTAGGGACGGGGTCTCGGACAGCCCACTCCCCAGACGCTGGATGCTGTATCCGCAGGTGATTGCTGAACCCCGAGTCCCTCCTCTCCCACCCACTGGTGTCCCCAGTATCTATTATTTCTATAAAACACAATCCTTATCAATACAAGGGAGAATGGGCGAATTCAAATTACAGTGGGAGATTTTAGTAAATCTCTTTTAGAAATGGACTAATCAATAGACAAGAAGCAAGCACGCAGGCTTCCAATATGTGGATTAGAAACCGGGGATATCAAAAACACGTATGCACACTTTGAGAGAGGTTACAAGAGGTGCCATCGTCAGAAGTCGTCTGGACGCTGATGGGAGCCACTCTGAGCACCTCCTGGAATTGTAGACATCAAACATGACTTGGGTCCATCTTTTGTTATAAGTATATGTTGAGCACTACCATTTTAAGACAGCTTTTCCTTTCTTAAATGGTGTGCCTTTTCTTGGCACCCTCTGTGTGCATGTGTCAACTCAGAGAGGACAGAGACAAGGCTTGGGCTGAGGTTCTGGCATGTTTATAAACAAGGAATATGCATCACAGCACAAAAAAGTACAGCTCAGGTTTTCTGAGATCACCTTGCAATTACATTAGGATGGGCTATAAGCATTTTAGAAAGCAGGGCAATAAAGGGAGGCTGACCAGAGCAAATATCTTTAAATATCTATAAATTTACAATAAGTAAAAGCGCATAATTGATTCGGTATTTCAGGCGGATTAATGGAACAGAAGCGAGAGTCCAGAGACAGATGGATAAAGCAGGCATTGCAAATTAGTAAGGAAGAAACAGAGGACTGTGGGCCAGCTGGTTAAAAACTAAAACAAACAAAAAGACCTAGAGATGGCCAGGCACAGTGGCTCATGCTTGTAATCTCCGCACTCTGGAAAGCTGAGACTGGAGGATTGCCTGAGTCCAGGAGTTTCAGACCAGCCTGGGCAACATAGCAAAACCTCATATCTACAACAAATAAAAAAAATTAGCCAGGTGCGGTGGTGCTCACCTGCAGTCCCAGCTACTTGGGAGACTGAGGTGGAAGGATCCCCTGAGCCCAGGAGGTCGAGGTTGCAGTGAGCTGTGATCATGCCACTGCACTACAGCCTGGGCAGCAGAGTGAGGCCCTGACTCAGAAAAACCCTCCAAAACAAAAAATCCCATAGAAACC